CTACAATCAGTTTCAAAAGTCTTGGGACAGACGCCACAAAACCTTTGAATTTCAACAAACGTCAATCCCCCCGGCCCCCTGTTCAATGTTGTGTCCCATTTCTCGTCAGGTTTGATGTGTTTTGGGAGAGCGGTATTGTTTGTAGGGGAGCGGTATTGTTTGTAAAAAACTGTAGTTATCCACTTACAATCTAAAACTACATGTGTCCCAACAACTTCTGAAAGTGATTGTCTGGGCCCCATATGCCATAACACCATTGTATATCTCAAACGTACAGGGGATAGAATGCTCTGCGAACGAAGTATTTCTGCTCCATTTCGTTCACAGAAGATCTAATATAACATTTTAAAACAATTAAGTTCCATTAAAATTCTCAAAGTTAATAATTAACAGGATATGAATATAACTTGTTATGTCATATAGCATTCTTAATCGTTGTTTGTTTTTACAAATTTCGGCAGAGCACAAGTGGGTTATTTGAGAGGTTATATAGTCCGTCAATATAAAGATAGGTATCGCGAATGTTTTACGCTAGATATGTCACACTTACTGTTAATTTATAGCATAGTAATATAACATCCGGTTACTTTCGCATGCGGGTAACGGCTGAGTCAACTGCTAATTCGGGTACTCCGAAGGTAAAGAACGTTTGCTTTATAATCACTTATGGTCAATGTGACATTTCACATCTTTCTAGAGTACAATTTGCAGATATAATTGTCGACGCATGGGTAGGAAGGAGCACTAAGTAGGTGGGAATGTCGGTGGCTCATGGAATGGGCGGTAGTCACTTCCACACGGCAAAAAAAATTGTCCACAAGATCGAGGTGGCGAGCTATCGGAAAGCTCGAGAAGAGTAAATGTGGCATTTAATTGAACCTTTCCGCAGACAATCTAAAAAATTACTATTCAGCGTATTCGTACGTGGTAAAGGAAGACCCGGACTTGGTGATTTCTCCAGGGCTTATACACCTCCCCAATGCTGACGCGTTAGCGAGTACTAGCGCGACCCGCCGAAGCAAGAAAGTTGCACAGGCTTCCAAAAATATGTAACGAAAGGGACTCGCAGTATACGGCGTTGTACGCATTATACAACACTGACGTTAGTGTTATACGCTAATTATGCTAATAAGCGTTTCCGGACGAGACGAATGCAATGAAACTAACATCGGTTGACACTTCGATTGTCACTATAGAAATATGAAATAACAGGCAACTAGACATCTTTTAAAACAGAACAAGGCTAAGAATAATCTGTTGAGAATGTCTAACAATGTATTTGCTATTAATGAAAGGCTTTGAAATTGATTAAACCAAGTTTTGGATCGATTACATAAATACATTTGATATATCATAGTGATATTTCTAGAGTTGAGTGTCAATCGATACATTTTATACAATTTATATACTTTGTGATAAAGCAGAACCCGTAATATATCAATAAGCGCTCCCTAAACACGTTTGCTTAGTACTTAATGTTCTGAAAATGATTATGCCGCGACAATTGAAAGTTATATATCAATGAAAATGCTATGTGTTTCAAAGTGACAACCGAGCACATACATGTTTTCATGTCAAATATGCACAATCTTTAAGTGGTCTTCGATAACTTACCTTTGCATTTTATTTATCATTAACCTAGGTCGATAATTAACCAGATAGATGTGTTTTCTCCCTTGCATCGTTTTCTCCCTCCAATTCAGTAAACATGTTATACTAAATGTTATATGATTTTCGCGAAACTGATATTCTAGAATACTCGGTAATTCAAAGAGGTTAAATATGCCTTTCATTGCCTTTCAGACAATCAGTTTCAAAAGTCTTGGGACAGATGCCATGCACAAAACCTTTGAATTTCAACAAAACGTCAATCCCCCTCCACCCCGCCCCCTGTTCAATGTTGTGTCCCATTTCTCGTCAGGTTTGATGTGTTTTGGTTGGAGCAACATTGATTGGGGTGGGGGGAGGTGGAGGGGAGCGGTATTGTGTGTAAAAAACTGTAATGATCCACTTACAATCTAAAACTACATGTGTCCCAACAACTTCTGAAAGTGATTGTAGCATATATATGTTTGGGAAATTGATTATTTTGTAATTAAAAGTTATATTTTGGGGGATTTTCCAATTTTACAACTATTTTTAAAATTATTATCGTGATAGCGTGTTGCCATGACAATGCTTCGTGTTTGGAAAACATAATGGTTTTGTCTGCAAGGCGAGGGTATTTTCTAGTATTTTATTAAAATTGTATAGCTGAAGACGTGGTATTTGCGTGAATGCATTGACGTTGTTATTAGTAGATATATCCAATTGCTGTAAAGGGTTTAAACATAAGAGTTTGAGAGAGTTTGGAATAGTTACTTCCGACGTCCAACTAAATTTCTGCCTCGAATAAAGATTACCTTTCGAACCAATTGTTTCGTGGCATTCATCGTCAGATCACCGTGATTGGCTTCAGTTATTCGTAGATCTCGTTCAAGTTATCGAGGCCCTCGCGCGTGCGTATGCAGTCGTACAGCGCGTATACCTAGAAGTTAGTTCCTTACAAAGACCTCTTTAACGTTATAACATCCTCTAAAGAACAAAGCATAATCGAGTAAGGCATAATCCTAACTGTGAAAGATTTGAAAATATCCGGGTAAGATTTTACAATGATCTTAGCCTACAAGATTCTGCCAAGATTATATTGCGATCTTACTATAGATCCGGTTATGATTTTAACACGTCTTATAAGCTCCTTCGTAAAATCTTACAGCTAGGTTTCCGAAATAGAAGATTTTACTATCATCTTGCAAGACCCTGTATGAATAATAATAACCTTTTTTGTTATTATATCAAGATCCTTAACAAAATTTGCCTTTATTAGGTCCTTTATAGGATATACTGAGAACATGTTCGCATATAACAATACAAATACGTAAGAATTATGTTATTTTCCTTAGCCCATGAGTAATTCCCAAGAGTCGGCTGTACGCAAGCTTTACTACTTTAAAACCTGCACTATCTTTTAGTTTTATAGGATGGGTTGCAGCTATAAAGGATGGGGCTGCACCTACATAGGATGGCCGGTCTACACCGAAATATACAGCTAAAAATAATCGCTGATTAGTATATAATCGCTATAATATATATAACCACTTAATAAATTATGAAGAAAACACCATATCACATGTGACATGTCATATTGTACTATGTCGGAGCTTGCCTCAATTAACCAATTTCGGGGATCGTGACTAAAACACCACACGAGTACATACGAGTAACATACGAGTAACACACAAGTACATACGAGTACATACGAGTAACACACCAGTACATACGAGTAACATACGAGTACATACGAGTAACATACGAGTACATACGAGTAACACACGAGTACATACGAGTACATACGAGTAAAATACGAGTACATACGAGTAGAATACGAGTACATACGAGTAAAATACGAGTAGTAAACTTGTTTTTAGTGTTTGTAGATTGAATGAAGGCAAAAAGATCGTCTTCTCTGTCGAAAAACGTGGAATGGGGGAATGGAGGAACGGGGAATGGGCAATGGGAGAACGGGGAATGCGGGAACGGGGAAACGAAAAACGGGGGGAGGTGGACAGGGGAATCGGGGAATTATGAATTATTATTTATACGTAATATTAATCATATGTACGGGAGGAAAAAGAACAGAAAAAAGAAACAGAAATTCGACAGGACAATCGGGGAATTACGAAACTATAAAACGGACTCTGGTGTCTTGGGAATTAGAAAACCGCTCAATGAATTAAAACTAGTAAAGAAATTTAGCGAAGCTTTCCTTTATTAGTACAGCGTATCATAAAAAGGTCAATCCACATTGCTTATGTCCGATCATTAAGTAATATTAATAATAATAACATTGCTTATGTCATTACTAATATACTTGCTATATAGTAAAACAAACTTAAGGACTAGATGCAAGCCCAAGGCAGTCCTTATGGTCCATATGATATCTTAAAGTGATTATCCTATTTTAAATATCTTACAAAGCAAAACTAACAAAACACAAAATACTTCAAAATACGCAGATTTTAAGCTAGCAATTTAAGTTGGCAAGTACGTTTCTAAAGGACTCAGCCGAACTCTCCTGCAAGCCTTTGGACGTGCTCCACCTTGAAAAGGGAAGGAAAGTCTGGAGAAACGAGAACGTCCCCAAGAAAGCTTGGATACTTTGCTCTGATGCAGGCTGATCGGAAATGAAAATGCACGTTCTGAGGCTCACTTGAAAACTGGATTTGTCCTGCAGGGCCTTTTTTAACATACAAGCTGGGGGGCCATTTGCCCCACCCCCAGTCCCCCCTTGTGCCCCCCCCACACGAAATCACATTTTGCACCCCTCCCAGAAAAAGTCCCTTTTCCTAAATTTATACAAACAAACCAGCGAAGAATAACAAATTGATAAACGGAACGTAAGTTTTAGGCTTTATCCTTTGTCCTTGTTTAACGAATCGATTTAAAGGACTGTGTCACCGCGTGCGCATCCTACGTGTTTCTAACACTAAGTAATGATAAATTATTGTTAATACTTTTTAAATTCTTTGTGCGTTTTTTCCTTCTTTTATTTCAAATAGAAGTATAGTTAGGATAAATTTTAGAGCAAATTTAGATGCTCAGACGGCTGGAAATGGCATTTTTGGGCTTCAAATTTCAAAACTTTTCTGGGGAAGTATGCCCCCAGACCCCCCTATTCATTCACGGTATGTCGGCCACACACGGCCATTGCTATCCCCCTTTAATAATAAGTAATGGATACATTATTGTTAATATTTCTTTTATTTTTTCTGCATTTTTTCCTTCTTTTATTTCAAATACAAGTATAATAGCATAAATTTTAGAGCAAATTTAGATGCTCATAAAGCAGGAAATGGCATTTGAAAGGTTCAAATTTAAAACATTTTCTGGGGGAGTATGTCGGCCACACACGTGGCCGTCGGCCTTTGCTATCCCCCTCTAATATATTATCTCACAGAAAGGTCCCTTTTCAAAAAATCCCCCCCCCCCCACGGGAAAATCCTTAAAAAAGGCCCTGTTGTCCTGTATTTCGGTCTCGGAACTGTCGTATGTCGTCACGGTATACGTTAA